AAAATTTTACCGCGAAAAGGCAAATCGGCCAGATTTACAGTCGCGACTGTAAAATACAGTTTTGACGAATTAGCCAATAACATGCTATCAATGGATAATTTTGTCCAATCATGTGCATTATGGAGTCAATAATCAGTTGGTTCAGAAATGGAATCAGCCAAGGCCGTCCGTGGCTCCAACTTCACGACCGACGAAGACTGCCAGCTTGTCCGGTCATGGATCAACATCTCTCAAGATGCGTCCAAGGGTAGTACTCATCACGCATCACCACACCGTCCATGATTTGCTCAAATAGCGGTCTGGCCATTCCAAAATGACGGCGAAACTTGGCTTCGCCGTAGATTGGATTGGGACCAAAGTAGTAGGTAAATCCGAGCATGCGCAGCCTCGCTATCTCGTGGTAGGTTTGGCTGGCGGTTTGCAATAGAGCCTTTTAGGGCGCGCAGAAGACTGGTGAAAGCCAAGAATCTCCCAAGCTTGATCCATGTCATCGTCGTCGTCCTCCCACGCGCCAGGCGTTCATTTCCGGATAAAAACATTATTCGGATGTTTTACACTTTTACCGCTGACGGTGCGCGTCATCTGATTCTGCAAAATGGTTCTGTATGTCAATTCATGAAATGATATGTACTAGTAAGTGTTTGATTTTTATTATAATAGTTTAGAGGTCTATATAAAATATCAGGAGTTTTATATTTAACCTTCGAAACTACATGTTGCTACTAGGTTTGCAACATCCGGCACAACATAACTTAACCGTGTCCTGGCTCTACATTTGTCATATTCTTGGAATTTTCAGGAAAAATTGGAGGCATCCAGATATTTCACGGTCAACTTATGGCGACAGTTTTTAAACGTTACTTTGGGAACTAGGAGAAAAAGGAAAAAGTTGTCAGAAGTTTTCTGGCGGAATATCAGCCCTAACTGTAAACTAACGATCTATACTGAATAAGTTACAGATATCACTCAAAAATTGACATTTCAAGATTTGTATGGAGAGGTTTTGGACCTCATCGTGGTATTAATACTCCCTCCGATCCAAAAAAGTTGACGTTGAGGAGGGTTTACATGATACATCATTAAATTTGTATGAGACTTCAGGCACGGTTTTCGTCCATCCTCGAGTTGAATTTCTGCGCTCCAATTGGTCTGTCGAAAAGAGCGCGAAACGGACAGCAGTTTAGGGATTTTCAGGGTTGAAATTTGATGTTTCCAAGCCTTGGAGGTCAGAAGATTTAATACAAATTCCAAGATAAAACCAGCTTTCAAATATACAAACACTCTTACATGGTGGGAATTTTGACAGCTCACTTCAGAACGACACAGGGCAGGCTTGACCTGACGAATATGGTGCATGAGGCCATCCTGCGTGAAGTCTTGCTCAAGTGTCAAGACGGTATGGTTGGCCGATTACCGAGAGGCTTCGGCAACGACCTTGCGACAAAGTATGGTTGCATTATAGCTCGAGCAAAGGCACAGGGCATAGCGTCTGGAAACATGCAAGTGTGTGTAGCTAACCGAAAGAAAGGTCGCGTTGGCCGGAAGATAAAGTACACGGCTGCCCAGGCGCGAGAAAAGCTCTTGCAGGTTCCACTGCGAGAGCGTACATCATTGCGATCCATCTCCGACAAAACTGGTTACAAAAGATGTTCCGTCACCCCCAATCTAAACTCGTATCGTAGCGTGTGTGTTCGTGCGCACTCAAATGCTATCCGTCCTCTGCTTACTGACGTCAACAAATATAGCCGACTGAAATTTGCGCTCAATTTTATGGCGCCCGGAGAAGATATGTGCGAAATGCTGGACTACGTTCACCTCGACGAAAAATGGTTCTATTTGACCTTAGTAAATCGCAAGTTCAGTTCTATCTCGTCCCAGGCGAGAAGCCACCCGAGCGCAAGTGCAAGAGCAAGCAATTCATTACGAAGGTTATGTTCTTGACGGCGGTGGCACGGCCTCGGCTCAACGAGGACACCAGTGTTTGGTGGGATGGCAAAATCGGAACGTGGCCCTTCGTCAAGTAAGCGTCAACCTCTATCGACGTGGTCGCGTATGAACGAGCTGTGGAGACATAGTTGGATGAGCTTCGGACGGCTGACGAGCTGTCGACGACGTACTTCTTGAGAGCATGGCACTGGACTCCGATGTCGCTGCCTTGGAAGCTGCAGGACTTGAAGCTAATGACATGAATGATGAGTAGTGATATGTTGAGTAAATGTGTTGTACTTCGTTGGAGTTGTTGTGCTCGGTAGGAGGGTTCTCGAGGTAAACCCCCCTTGCCATTCGATTCAGGAGGAGGGTTCTTGAGGTAAACCCCCCTCCTGAATCGAATGGCAGTGTTGGTTTTTCATGAATCGCAAATTTGGATGGTTCTGTGACACACATTCTGTAACGTTACAACCTTGAATCTCAATATCTATTAAAATATAGGGTGTGCGGGGTACTTTTTTTTGAGGAGGGATTTGTGAAATTCCGAAGTCGCGCAACCTTTTTGGATCGGAGGGAGTAGGATTTACGCTAATAAGTAAACCAACCCCACGAAGTTAATTGTCTGTCCGAAGAATAAATAATCACATAGTTTAATCAAGATGAAATTTAAGTTCAAGATAACATAGCATCAAGTGCATACATTCGGTCAAAAACACACCGCTGCGCTAGTGTGCTGGCAGGAAATTAGGAAAGGGACTTCGCGCATGTAATATCACTTGAGTACCTCGAAACAAACGAAATGTGTACGTATGAACGGGCCCCATGAAGAGGCTAGAAACATCGGAACCCCGCCCTAGAACCTAGATTAGTTAGGTCGAAGTGTAGTCTTGATATTCCGGGGGTTGGCGCATCGCCAGTGGTTTGCTATAGCTAACCCCCGGCAATGTGCCGAACCCCTCACGAAATTCAGAAGCAAGCCTACCACAGCTACGCTGCGGTAGCTCGCGAACCCCCACGCAATCCTGGTCATAGTGGCCTCCAATTCGAATTCGCAACTGTTGCAAATCGATTTCGCGTAGCGACATGATCACGTTAGTGTTGTACTAAGAAAGTCCAGATCTCATTGGATATGAAAATCGTAGGACCAGCTCCCTACGATTTCGTCAATTCACAAATCAATTGCGGAATTTTATGTTTACTACAAATTCATATATAACTTGGAAACAAATTGAGGTGGAGGATTTCGAAATGGCGAAATCGTAGGGGCGTGCGCCTACGATTGCATACAAAAGTCAAGTTCTGGCCTACGAATTCCGTAGATTGTAAAATACAGATTTGACGAATTAGCCAATAACATGCATGCTATCAATGGATAAATTTGTCCAATCATCGATGTCATGTACTTGACGGAAAGCCAAAAATCACTTTTCTTCGAGCAAATGGATCCTTCAAACTCGCTCGTGGCTCACACTTCACAAAACTCGTCGAGTGCATCGGCAGCCCAACCAAAGTACAACCTTCGCTGAGAAGTGACACAAGTTTTCAGGTGTGAATGACCGATTTTCCTTACTCCCAACACATTAGAACAATCATCATTCTCAACCGCATCGTCCATGGTGAGTCCATATATGAAACGTGCGTGCGCAGAGGAAGGCGCAGTAGTTGGCAAATTGAAAAGTAAATTGGTAGCGTTATGACAATCTAACCCTAATGTTACAGCTAATTCGCCCCTTCGCCCCTATTTCGCAGTACCATGTACTGTATTGTACTTCCTGTTATATATAGTTTGACTAAAGTACTACTAATGATTTACAGTTAAGGTCAGTATTTCGTGGGTTTAACTGAAATATTGGCGCACGTTGATTGAAACACGTGCAAATAAAATGCACCACTTAAATATAACGACGTGCATGCACGCCAAAAACCACAGTAAAAAGTCTACACCCGTCAAACCCCTAGTTAGCTGCACCGCCAACGATCTGATTACCGAGGCTTGGATGATAGATAGCCTTGCGCAATTCCCGAGACGCGAAGCGTGGAAGTATCTCCGCATCACCTGCCTCTGCCACTTATTACGTGTGGCTCCGCGGGCGACGAGGCTCGCGATGGTTGCGGCACCTTTCGTCCTGGTTGTTGCGACATACTGTAGCCTCGAAATGACGATCGTTGGAAAAGACTTGAAATAGGAATGTAGGTCTTGACGAATTTCAGGATATCACCATAGCCGCGATTGGCTCATCTAATTTTTATCACAGCTGATTGGCTGCTTTGGCTGTTCTTTTTTCAACCATCATCTTTCTACTAGTAATGGAAATCATATTGCCAAGTCCATTCGAAATTGGATCAATGGAATGAACAGTACCAAATTGGCAGACAATCGATCAACCAATCACACGAATCAAGTGGCGAATCAAATCTACTCTTCGACCAATTCATCATCAATTCGTATTTCCCGAGATGAGGTAGCCAGAAATGGCGAAGAACACGTCGACGCCTATGAACCCGCCTCTGATCGAGTGCGGGTACGCGTGGAACAGTACCACGGGAACCACCGCGAGCGTCCACACGTGACCGATATCGAGGACTGGTTAGTATAAAAGGATAATACCAGTCAGTTTGCATTGTGCGTCTAACCGCCGTTGTGGCCGATATCGAGGACTGGTTAGTATAAAAGGTTAATACCAGTCAGTTTGCATTGTGA